AGTTTTTGCAGCCCACTCAGCAAAAGACACAGGCGCGGTCGACCGTGACGGTCGACCGTGAACTGATATATGAAAATGCAGGTTTGAAAAACTGTTTTCTGATTTTAAAACCCTGTTTAAAAATATTAAATAAATTTCAAAAAATATAAAAATTTGGAGAATGATTGTAGACATGATAATACACATGTCACAAAAACTGGTTTACAAAAAGAACCACACAAATGTGAAATATCATTATTTTGCAAAATAGTCCAAAACATGAAAATGTGAACACATGAGTTTTGACATTTTAGCTTAACCATGTTTTGAAACATTACAAAATGATTTTATAGACTTAAAGAAAGATATAAACAATTGTTATGAAGTCTATAAACAATGAATACAATATTTTCACAAATACAATAGAATATGAAACATATGAGTATGTATATGATTATATATTTGTTTCATATCTATGAAATTAAACCAAAACACAATAATAAATATGAAATATGTAATCTAACATAAAAACTCATATATATATATATATATATATATAACTATATGAAAACCAAACATATGTGTATATATGAAACTATATATACATGGAAACCAATATAATGTGTGTGTATAATATTAAGCTTAAAGTACTAACACACATAATATAAAACCTAAACTAATGTTACCCAAGCTTGATCTTGATCTACATTGTAGCTCAACTTGGTAAACTTGGATGAAGCTTGTAATTGGATCTTTAACTTGAATTGTATAGGCTTCAACCACTATTCCACCAACCTTCATTGGATATATTCATTGAAGCTCAATTCCATTCATCCTCCAACTCGTTGTTTGCCTAGAATAAATACAAAAACACAAACCCTAGACAAACAACATTAGGAGTAAATTGTTTGTTAAACATTATCAAAACAAGAAGGCCAACAGTATCTAGGTCATATGCCAAGGTCTTGGGAGCGTCCAGGATAGTATGGGTCGATTACGCGGAGTACATCGCTTAGGTCTTGCTCGTGATTTTCTTCACTCTAGCATTCACATCCTCAAACCTCCTCTGAAGTCCTTTAGCCTCCTCTACCAACTATGAACATCTCATTCACCTCCTATCACTTTCCAAAAAATCTCCTCCATCACAATTTAAACAAAGAAATTAATCCATTTAGGCATTAGTCCAATGTTTATCGGCTCCTAGCGCTTTCTATAATACTAATATTTATTATCATTTATTGCAACGAAAAATAAAAATAGAAAATCGCCTAGGCACCTAGTCTCTAGGCATCAGGTTTGGCGTCTAGGCCACCAAGCGCTTTGTATAACCTCATGTATGAGTATGAACTTATAAATGCGGTCCTTGAGGGTTGGAAGAGCAAAGTATAAAGTGGATCATTCTGATATGATATGAATATGGACGCTAAATATCTATATATGGTGATAATGAGTATTATATGCAGTGATGTGGCTGAGCCAAATAGTATGGACAATATTAAGTAATGAAGAAATAATTATGTTTTTACAGTTAGCTGAGATTTGACCATGTCATTTTATATGAGAGAATATACTCATACAACATCCATATGTGCGTGTGAATTTGATGGTTATGAGGTGGCGAAAATAAATTTAGGTTTATGATGCGCCTCAGTGATTTTTGGGGGTTAACTTTAGAAAGCTCTCAACTTGCAGGTTGTCTCTCGAAAACCCTCATCAGCTATTTTAATTTGAAAATATGACCCTCTGAAACACAAGGGTGTCTCACAAAGCCCACTCTGATCTTTACGCTCTTTTGGGCGAAATCATTTGATGTCCAATGTGAAATGATCAAAATATCATTTTGAAAAGGGGGAAGGAAAAACAATTTCAGTTATTAAAAAAAAGGCGCCTCTCAACCATTAAAAAAGACAACGACGCATTTATAAATTATAATGCTTCCCCCCACCCCGTCTCTCTCTCCTCTCATCCTGCAAATATCTCAGCTATTGTTTCCTCCTCCCTCGTTTTTATCCTACGAAAATCTAGTCTATTCTTTAATGACCGAGAGGAATCATAGTCTTCTGAAGTCATGTGTTTGTTACGTACCACGCTAAACTTAGTAGCATTAATTAGGAGGGACTATATACGATAAAAATTCATAAAGGTTATAAGTAGAATTTCTACAGCTAAAAGGGGTTGTCACGCCACTCCCGGTCCGGAGGAAGTCCACCGAAATTAATCAAATTAAAATAACGAAGAGTTTTTTTCTGAGGAAAATGATAGGAGCACATCCCTAACGACAACTCCAATCGCACCCTCTCTCTCTTTTGCTACGTTACATCAGACTCCGCATGAGATTTTAAAGAGCCCGGCATACTGTAGCTAAAGAGAGAGAATGAGTGATTGGAATTGTGGCTGGGGGGGGGGAGAGAGAGAGGAGAGAGAGCGAAGACGGCGAAGGAGAGAGAGAGGGAGAGCGATGTCGGACGAGGAGCACCACTTCGAGTCGAAGGCCGACGCCGGCGCTTCGAAGACCTACCCCCAGCAAGCGGGCACCATCCGCAAGAACGGCTACCTGGTGATCAAGGGCAGGCCCTGCAAGGTATAATTTCTTCCTTGGGGATTCTCTTTCGATGGACTTCGTAATTTGACCGGAGATTTCTGGTTTATTTTGAGTTGAGGAGATTTGTACTGCTTAGCAGCCGATTATCCGTGGATCTGATTATTAGTTCGATCTTCCGAAAACATTTTTTTTAGACAGAATCGAATTAATTATTTGGAAGAAGCAGAGCCGTAATTTGCTGAGCCGTCGTTCGCCGCTCGAGATTACTACTCTCTTCGATGGAGCGTGGTTGTCGCCTCGACCTTCTAATTTGCATATGGATGTTATGCTGTACTCATGCTCGTATAAGTATTTTGTTGAAATCTCCAATCGTTTTACATGTATTTTCAGCGCGCCGCGTATTGTTGTATTCGTGCTCTTTTGTGAAAGATTAAGATGCTGCACTACTTCGTACTTAGGGTTAGTTTGGTATTGGCTTTTTTCAGGGTGCTTTTGCTTTTTTTTTTTTTTTTCAGAAGCTCTCAATAATGGTGTTTGGTGAAAACTTGTTTTGGCATGCTTAAGGCGGTGCTTTTAGAAGCAACTTGATGGTGTTTTTAACAGTAGCTTCTGTTTTATTTTAGTTTATATACCATACATACATTTTATCTTTTAACAATGATCATTAAGCATAGTTCTATCAAGCACCTTTCCTTCTTCTTAAGTAGTTTTTGATATTTGATTACCAAATTGAGCTTATATAAGTTGCTTCTATAAGGTGTTTTTATAAGCAGCTTATTGCAAGCTCTAGCAATATCAAATTAATCTTTATGTGATCCCTCCTAAATTAAAAAAAAAAAGCGTCCAGGATAGTATGGGTCGATTACGCGGAGTACATCGCTTAGGTCTTGCTCGTGATTTTCTTCACTCTAGCATTCACATCCTCAAACCTCCTCTGAAGTCCTTTAGCCTCCTCTACCAACTATGAACATCTCATTCACCTCCTATCACTTTCCAAAAAATCTCCTCCATCACAATTTAAACAAAGAAATTAATCCATTTAGGCATTAGTCCAATGTTTATCGGCTCCTAGCGCTTTCTATAATACTAATATTTATTATCATTTATTGCAACGAAAAATAAAAATAGAAAATCGCCTAGGCACCTAGTCTCTAGGCATCAGGTTTGGCGTCTAGGCCACCAAGCGCTTTGTATAACCTCATGTATGAGTATGAACTTATAAATGCGGTCCTTGAGGGTTGGAAGAGCAAAGTATAAAGTGGATCATTCTGATATGATATGAATATGGACGCTAAATATCTATATATGGTGATAATGAGTATTATATGCAGTGATGTGGCTGAGCCAAATAGTATGGACAATATTAAGTAATGAAGAAATAATTATGTTTTTACAGTTAGCTGAGATTTGACCATGTCATTTTATATGAGAGAATATACTCATACAACATCCATATGTGCGTGTGAATTTGATGGTTATGAGGTGGCGAAAATAAATTTAGGTTTATGATGCGCCTCAGTGATTTTTGGGGGTTAACTTTAGAAAGCTCTCAACTTGCAGGTTGTCTCTCGAAAACCCTCATCAGCTATTTTAATTTGAAAATATGACCCTCTGAAACACAAGGGTGTCTCACAAAGCCCACTCTGATCTTTACGCTCTTTTGGGCGAAATCATTTGATGTCCAATGTGAAATGATCAAAATATCATTTTGAAAAGGGGGAAGGAAAAACAATTTCAGTTATTAAAAAAAAGGCGCCTCTCAACCATTAAAAAAGACAACGACGCATTTATAAATTATAATGCTTCCCCCCACCCCGTCTCTCTCTCCTCTCATCCTGCAAATATCTCAGCTATTGTTTCCTCCTCCCTCGTTTTTATCCTACGAAAATCTAGTCTATTCTTTAATGACCGAGAGGAATCATAGTCTTCTGAAGTCATGTGTTTGTTACGTACCACGCTAAACTTAGTAGCATTAATTAGGAGGGACTATATACGATAAAAATTCATAAAGGTTATAAGTAGAATTTCTACAGCTAAAAGGGGTTGTCACGCCACTCCCGGTCCGGAGGAAGTCCACCGAAATTAATCAAATTAAAATAACGAAGAGTTTTTTTCTGAGGAAAATGATAGGAGCACATCCCTAACGACAACTCCAATCGCACCCTCTCTCTCTTTTGCTACGTTACATCAGACTCCGCATGAGATTTTAAAGAGCCCGGCATACTGTAGCTAAAGAGAGAGAATGAGTGATTGGAATTGTGGCTGGGGGGG